CCCTCTGTGACAGTCCCCACACACTGCTAGGACCCTTTGTGACAGTCCCCACACACTGCTAGGACCCTTTGTGACAGTCCCCACACACTGCTAGACCCTCTGTGACAGCCCCCCCACACTGCTCAGACCCTTTGTGACAGTCCCCACACACTGCTAGGACCCTCTATCCCACACACTGCTAGGACCCTCTGTCCCACACACTGCTAGATCCTCTGTGACAGTCCCCCCCACACTGCTAGGTCCCTCTGTCCCACACACTGCTAGGACCCTCTGTGACAGTCCCCACGCTCATGGGCATTGAGATATTCCCTGAGCTCCAGGCAGTGTGTTTCCATAGAGCAGCAGTTCTCAACCTGTGGGTCGCGACCCCTTTGGGGGGGTCAAATGGCCCTTTCACAGGGTCAGCCCATCCAAAACAGTAGCAAAATTACAGTTTGACGTACAGTTATGAAATTACAGCAACGCAAATAATTTTATGGTTGGGGGTCACCACCACATGAGGTACTGTATTAAATGGTCACGGCATTAGGAAGGTCAAGCACTGCTGCCAGAGAGTAAGAGCTAGCCAGGCTGCCTGGTCCCTCTGATGGGGGGTCAATCCTGAATTCATGAGTACCCCTGCCACCCTACAGAAGGGTTCCTCTGTCCCACTCCCATGGGGGTGGCCCCTCATGCTGCAGGGCAGAGAGGTGGCATGCCATAGAGAAAGTCCGGGGGGAAGAACTGGGGCCTGAGTGTGGGCTTCGGGATTCCCTCCTCTGCCTGCCTGTCCCCTGGGCCTCCCTGGGCCCAGGCTCACATGCCCCGCCCCTCTCTGGGGCTCTGCCAGGCTCCTGGAGGAGCCCAACTGACAGCCTCTGGGGACTCTGGGGGTCCCAAGAGGTGACTGGAACCCCGTGGTGCTCGGCCACCCTCTGCAGATGGGGCTGGACCGCTGCTTGGGAGACCAGGTTCTGAGAAGACCCTCTCCACTGAGCTGGGAAGTGGGCTGCTTCAGGCTGGACAGCCAAATGGTCACCCGGGAGCAAGAAAAGAACTCTGGCCCAGGGGTCAGGGCCTGAGTGGACCTTAGAGTGACCTTCGAGACACGTCCTCCCCTGTGTGGGCCTCAGGCTCTGAGGTGTCCAATGAGGCTCAGGAGGCGCTCCCAGCTGACAGCGGCAGCCTGTTACCTACCCCTTGCTCCTGACAGATTTGCGTCAGCCTCTCCAGCTGCTCGTCCTGGATGACCTTGGCCTTCTCATACTGCTGGATGACCATCTCCATCTCCACCTTCACCGGCAGGACGTAAGCTGGAAGACAGGGGGCGCCGTGAAGGATGCAGCAGTGGCGGGCTCAGGCTGGGGAGAGACCGGCCGGAGCCTCCAGCCAGCAGCAGGCTCAGGGTGCACTGAGGCTCGGAGGAGAAAATGTCTGGGTGCTCAACAGCCTCCAGAGGGGCAAGAAAGCTAGACCCCTGACTCTCTTGGACCCTTCCTCTCCATGTGTCTTTCCCTCCTTTCCATCGTAACAGAACACTCACCTTTTGGCTAGATTTCAGAACCTGCCCTGCAGCCCTGGGCTGCCATGAGAGCCCGTTTTGGGTCATGGGATGCAAGTGGGGTGGGGGGTGGAGGGGTGGCGGTGCGGTGCAGGGGCTTCCAGAAGCTTCCTGAGTTGTCTAATGGGTACAGGGACTTTGGTTTTTAGGGAGGTGGTGAAAATGTCCAAAACAGATGGTGCTGATGTGAATTTATGAAAAACGATTGAGCTACCTGCTTTAAGTAGGTGAATTTTACGGTCTATAAACTACATATTTCAAGAAAGCTTTATTTTAAAAGCGAGGCTTCCCCTGTTGCTGGCTGAAATGAGAGGTGAGGGCTGGCTCTCAGGCAGCCGTCTTGGGCCAGGGGCAGCAGAGCCACGGCACGCAAGGCACCTGGACTCTTGGCTCCGGGGAATGGACAAACGTAAGCCTCCGTTCATTGACGTCTCTGTCATTCTAGATATAGTCACGCTGAGGCCCAGAGGAGGGAACCTGGATTCCAGGGGTCTCCCAGTCAGGACTTCTCCGGGCTCAGTGCCATTGAGCTCCCACTGTCGGTTCCTGACTTTAACCTGGCCTTGCTGCCCATCACGCTCCTCTCCCACCTCCCGGAACCCCGCCAGCCCTCTCCGCACGTCTTGGAAACGTGGGTCACGCGCATCTCTTGATACTGCCTTCTCGCGCCCTCCCCATCTCTGCTCTCCCAGGCTCCTCTCCACTCAGAGTCTCCAACATCCAGATATTCTCTGGCTGCTGCACGGATCATACAGACAAGAAACTGGGGTTTGTTTCTTCTTGGAGGATGGCTCTGAGCATCTCTGAGACCAGACCCAGGTCCTAGGAGCTGCCCGAGGCTCCTACTGTCTCCTCAGCTCTCTGCTAATGCCAGTTCACACGCAGGGGCAGAGTAGCACATTAACACCCACACATCGCTCTTGTAAGGCCCCCCAGGCTGTGATGTGTCAGGAAAGGAAGGGGGCAGCTGGGAAGAGAGTTCACAGTGTTGAGACCTGTGTGTGAGGATGTCCAGCTGTGCACAGCTGGCAGGGCAGAGCCAGAAGAGGCTGCTCTTGCCCCGGAAGGGAGCGGATGTTCCCACAGACTGAGCCAAGAACAGCCCCTCCCTCCCTTATCGTGAGGAGGAAGGAGCACTGGGCAGGGGTGTTTGCTGGGTGACCCCCATCCCTCCTGGCCGCAGTTCCCCTATCTTTCAATGAGAGAGGGATGGGCTAGAAGATCTCTCAGCTGGGCCACTCCAAAGTGGGCCAGTTTGATGCAGACTCTGGATTAGGGACTCAGATGACACACTGGTGGGACGCAGGACCAAACCCCACAGTGCTCACGGGGCCGGGTGGGCTCTGAGGGGAGGGTCTCTGCTCAGGGAGAGAGACTCTGGAACCCCTCCTTCTGACTTCACACCCATCAGGCCAGCACCCCTGGAGGTCTTCTCATGGCCACAGCGTCTCTTATTTGCACGCACGGTTCTGAGCTGGGAGGGCCGGCCAGATAGGGCGGTTGGGAAGGGTTACAGAGCGTAATCAAGAATGGTCCAGGCAGAAGCTGGTGAGTTGGTGTATACTGGCTGCTCAGTCTGCTCCACGAACAGAGAGATTCTGCAGAGGCTCCCTGGGGGAAGGCAAAGAGGTGACGTCGGGATCCGCTCCCCACCAACTTTCCGTCTGCTTGACACATCAGGCAAGGGCCTAAGGTGTTGTGGGAGAAAGGGGGGTGCTGCGAAGAAGAAAAGGCCAGGGTTTGGGAGGCACCTGTCTAGATCAGCTCCCTGATGGTTTCTGGAGCAGCGCCACCTGGCCTCTGGTCACCCACACTTCAGAGGGGAGCCCACCTTGGGAGAGAAGAGGTGGCCCAGCACATCTGGGGTGATGCTGGGCCCAGATGTTCTGCAGCCGAGAGGAGGTGGGCCTCCCTCCCCTCTGGAACCCGGTGACGTGGCTCTTCCTCTTGTCATCATGAGTTCAGGAAACTGGAGGACAAAGGTGCCCCTTCCCCCAGGCCCCCCCTCCACACGACACACACTGCTCTGCGGGGTGAGGCGAGCTGCCCGCTCCTTCCCAGGCCCCTTTCTGGAACTCTCCGTGACCATGGTTCAGGAAGGAGAGGCAACAATAAAGCCAGGAGCACGTCAGACCTTTCAGGGGAGTGGAGACCCGAGATGTCATTCAGATGCTGGATCCATAGCTGGAGACCCAGCCAAGCCAGCACGCCCCCCCCACCGCCACCCCGGCACCACCCTCCAGCTGTTTGCAGGCAGATAGGCTGGGGGAGATCGAACCTGGGCCCGGGGACAACCTGCATGAAGCAGTGGAGGGAGGAGGGTCATCAGACCCCTGAGGGGTAAAGAGCTGGTCTTTCAAAACCACAGCCCTGCCTGACGCTCCCTTGGGACAAGCAGGCCCCCCAGGGGCTCACAATAAAGAGCTGTGTTGGAAGATACTCGGAGTCCTCTCCAAATGGGCTGTGGGGAGTCATAGTGCCCGCACGTGGCAAGCGGGCAGTGGGAGCAGGGCAGGCCTGGTCCTCTGAGCTGGGGGTTACACGCCCACCTCTAGTGGCCACTCCCTTCTTTCTGCTGGCAGGGCGGTTCCTGGGGCAGCGCCCCGCTGACCCCTCATAGGCCACTCACCATCGATGACTCTCTTCAGCCGCCAGATCCGGAGCATGATGATGAGGCTGATGGCGTCCCAGGGGCTCCTGGGTCCGTTGGCCACAGTGGACGCCACCATCGGGGCCAGGGACAGGATGATCACAGCCCCGTCAAACACCTGGAGGAAGAGGTGGGCTTCAGTGTCCGGGCTGTGAGCCTGCAGGCTGGGGGTGTCAGCCCAGGTCAACCAAAGCAACCTGGCCAGCAGGTCACCCCACACCCCTGGCCCCCTCGGTCTTTGGGCCTCTTCTAGAATTCTCTTGGGCACTTCCACTCTTCCAGGGGGCCTCCCCCTGTCTCCAGTCCATTGGCCTTTGCCGTTTCCAGCGCCCTGTCCCCTCTTGGGGCTGGACTTTCATCCTGCCTTCCAGAACCCTAGACAGAGACGGAACTGAACTGTGATGGGGGCCAAAGGTCGCACAGTGGTGCCTCCTTCCCCTGGGGTAGCAGGAGTCCCTGTGTCTCATCTCTACTCAGTGCCAAGAAGGGGGTCTGGCTAGAAGAGAAGGAGGTCCCAGATTGTGACATTGGCCCTGGACCCTGACCTTCTGACCTTGGCCCAAGCTTTACAGGCTAGGTCCCTCTGTGTCTGCCCCCAGCACTGAGGCCAGAATGGATGGGGCCGTGAAGGAGTGGACAGTAGGGACTGACCCCTTTGCCTTGTCCTGTGTGTACGAAACTCTGGGAGGTGACAGGGCCTCCCCAGTCCCTCCCCAGAGACGCGCCTCTGTTGAACGTCTCAACTGGCCCATCCCAGCCCTCTGACAAGCAGCAGCCAAAGAGCCGGTTGGCTCAGCAGAAACCCACGCTGAGCAGCCCGTGGATAGTCTCCGCTCGGCTATCTGACCACTGGGCCACTTTAGAGTGGACCTGTTTGTTTTAAAGCATAGTTCGGCAGCTTATAAATAGACTCAAGAATAACTGTGAACACACTTCAGAACTTCAAGCAGGATTTTCCAAACATTCCTGCATTGGAAACATTCAGCGCGCTCCTCCACATCCCCATCCCCCGGTCCCACTCTCTACACAACCCAAGCAGCTCCCGCAGCCAATGCCAGGGGACACGGGCTTTTCTGATGGCTCAGGCCGGGGAGAGAGGGGCCGGGAGCTCTTCTAGCTTCCGATGCCTGGGCTGGGCACTGGTCTTTACCTCTATTTTGTTTTCAATGTAGTCCCAGATTCCAAGGACTATAATCCGTAACACAGTCTGAGGAGAGAACGAGAGACAAGAGGTCACGGGGACTGCTCTCCAGCGTGCCGACCCCGACCTAACCAGGGGAGACCATTCCGGAAGGAACTCTGCTTCCTTGTTCCTGAGGAGGAAAATGCCTGCATCATCTCCTGAGCAATATTTTTCAAACCATTTTATTAGGAGCTGATTCAGACATCCTACCAGCCCATAGTTCGATCACATGGAGCAGGGTCGTACAATTGCTACCAACATCAGTTTCAAGACATTGTCTTCCTACTTAATCTCCTTGATATCAGCTCGCCTACCCACCCTCACCCCCGCCCACACCCTCTACCACAGACCCCAGGAACCCTTCTTCTAGTTGTCTCTAGATTCACCCGTCCTGGCTTTCATCTACCGGAAAACATAGACAAGCACACAACAGAGTCCAGAAGGCTACCAACAAAGATCAACCCCAATATGAAAAAAGAAAAAATGCAGAAAATATGAAAAGCTAGCTCAAGCCCAAGGTGTATCCGAGGGGAGACCAAGTGACAAGGCTCGAACCGTTCACGTCAGCTTTACCACTTTAACCTCCTGTCGTCGTCTGCACAACACTCTCTGTCTGATAACCCGGTTAGTTATCCCCATCCCTCAGTGATGGTTGGGGGAAATCACGGGAGGCTTAGTCCTGTGTAGACCCTGCAAATGTATTTTGGGGCTTCCACTGTCATCCATAGCCTTCTGCACACCAGAATCTCAAAATTTAAGCTCTGATGCTACTCCCTCCTTCGGATTTGGATTATATAATTTATAATCCTTGGATCACGAGTATTGGTGCATCCCCTAAGCATTTGGAATGCCGTGCATCCCCTGTAAGCCCACTGCATGTTTGCTGCTCCCATCTGGGTGGAGGCAGTGCCTCCTGCTGGCTCCTCTTCCTTGCAGACTCAACCCCACTCACCATCTTCCGTAGCACCCCTCTGGCTCTGCCACCTCCTTGCCCATACCCTTCAGGCTCACAGTGCATGCAGACTGCACTCCAACCCCCCTTGGAATGATTTCCAGGTCCCTATCTCGTGCCACTCCCACCTGCCACAAATCACATGCACATCTGGAAGTCTTCTCCCATTGTCTTGTCTTTGCACATGGCAGACTGCTGGCTGACGCCTGTGCCTCCCAAATATATATATATTTTTAAAGATCATTTTGTTGATCTTTAAAGAGCTGTAATCTTACAGCTCTTATGACAATCCATACATCAATTGTATCAAGCATGCTTGTACATATGTTGCCATCATTATTTTCTAAACATTTGAGCCCTTGGTATCAGCTTCTCTTTTTACCCTCCCCCCACCTCCCACTCTCATGACCCCTTGATAAATTAACAATTATTATTATTTTCATATCTTACACCAACCACTGTCTCTCTTCCCCTGTGGTTTCTTCCCCCTTTCCTCTCCCCACCTTCTCCTTACCCTCCTGGTACCACCACTCTCATTTCTGTTCCTCAGGGGTTTAATCTGACCTGGATTCCATGTGTCCTGAGCTCTTATTTGTACCTGTGTACATGCTCTGGCCTAGCCTGCAGTGAAAAGGCAGGATTGGGGTCATGATAGTGGGGGGGTGAGGAAGCCTCAAGGAACCAGAGGAATATTGTGTGTTTCATCGGTGCTATGCTGCACCCTGGTTGACTAACTCCTTCCTTGTGACCCTTCTGTGAGGGGATGTCTCATTGTTTACAGCTGGGTTTGGGGGTCTCTGCTTCGACCCCCCTTGTTCCCAAAAATGTTTGTTTGTTTGGGGTCTTTTGATGCCTGTTATCTAATCCCATCGACACCTATAGGCTGGTGTGCTTCTTCCACGAGGGCTTGTTGCTTCTCTGCTAGATGGCCACTTGTTTAACTTAAAGCCTTTAAGACCCCAGATGTTATATCTTTTGACAGCCGGGCACCCTCAGCTTTTGTCACCACACTTGCTTGTGCACCCACTTTATCTTTAGCAATTGAGCTGGGTCCTCTCAAATATTTATTCTCTCCATAGTAATTGAAGCGTTAGCATGGCCACCAGCTAAAGACTAAACTTTCCTTGCATCCAGCAGCGGCCCTTTGACTACGTGTGGCCAGTGGCATATGAGCAGAGGCACTGTATACAAGTTCTAGAATGTGCCCGGGAAGGAACGAGGCTCTTCCTCTTCTTCCCCTCCCCCCAAGACTAGAATGGAGGTGTGCAAATGTGGTGGTCGGATCATCTTCCACTGAAGTGGAGGCTGGGTCGCTGCCAGGTCCAAGCTACCACACCAGCCTTTACTGCCTCAGCCATCTACCTACTCTTTCATGAGACGTGAACTCCGTTTTGAAACACAAGCTTGCCAGGTGCCCTAACTAGCAAGGCCCTCACCCTTCCTCTTCCTGGAAAAGGCCTTCTTGTGGCCTCAGCTCAAATGCCACTTGTGATGCTCTTCCACACGCCTCAAGCTTACTTGGTTTTTGTCTTGGTTTGCTAAGGCTATTGCTATGACAGCATGACCACACGTGGGTTGCTGCAATACACATAAATGCTTTTTCTCACCGTCTAGAAAGTTGGAAGTCTGGATTCAGGGTGCCGGCTGTTCCTCTCTCTCAGGCCCAAGCGAAGCTCTTTGTCTCCTTTAACCACCGATGACCCACGTGCCTTGGGTATCTACAGGTGTCTTGGCACAAATCTTCCCCTGGGCCGAGGAGCTTCCCAGCACAGAGACCTCAGGTGCAGGGCAGAGGCTCACTCTGTGCTCTTCTTTCTTGGAGATAGTAGGTGCCTGTCATCTCTTCCCACTGTTCAAATCTCCTTTCTGTCTCAAAATAGATTGTCTCAAGATACAAGCTAATCCCACAGACTGTCTCCTGCCTTTTGAACAGAACTTCCATGAGTTCTGACCCATTAACATCACAGAGCCCAGGATTTTCAACACAGAGGATAATGACATCAGATCACAACATGAGCGATGACCACACACAACTGAGAATTGTGGCCTCTCCAAGCGCATACTTTGATGCACAGAACAAAATCCACAATGATTTCTGTCTTCAAGAGCACATGCCTTGTTGTAATTAACTGCCTGTCCGATTCCCCAGTTAAGGTTCAAGAGACACTATCTGATTCCTCTCTTTGACCCCTAATGTCTGAGTGATTCTGCACTGTGAGTGTATGAGCCAAGGCATGAATGATGGAATACTTGCTGATAATCATCAGTAACTCATTTCAAATGCTGGGACCTTTGGGAGGCATTTCCTCACTACAAATACACCTTTCGCTGGCTAGAGGACAGACATGCGCCAACTTTGGGTATCAGGGAAGACAATCTACAACAAGAGGGTAGGAAGGAGAAGACACTGGGAGAAGCAAGAATTAAAGACAATAGAGGGAAATGCTGTTGCACAGTCCTGCGATGGTGAAGATCTACAAGTAGCTACATGGACAGACGTGCTGGCTGAATTGTTGTGGGAGGTAGGGTAGACTTACACCCACGAATACATACACAGGATTAACACAGAAGATTTGTACATGGGCTTTAACTTTTGCTGTAAATATATCCATGACTGTGGTGAGCACAGTGTTATGAAATCTTTTAGACATAACTTCACAAGAAACCTTGAAATAATGAGTCATTGTGCCTGGGGGCTCAGGACAGTAGTCTTAGGGGCCACCAAGGTCAACTGGTGTATCATAGTGTGGCAGTTACATAATCTATTGTCAACTTGCGCAAAGAGGTGGAGTCCAGCCTGTCTATCAGGTCATAGCCAATCATTCCTCTGTGTGGGCATGGCCTTCTCCTGAGGATTCTGGGAACTCCTGTCTTCCTCCCTGGAGGTGGGACACACACTCTCTCTGCTCCATCTTCCTGCTGACAAGACACGTGGAGCCACACTGATCCCAGCCAGAGCCCTGGAGCTGGAGGAGCCACATGGAGACCCCTGCCAGCGCTGAGATGCTTCCATCGTCACTGGATCCACAAGACTTTCCACCCACAGGCTTGTGATCTTCCGGCAATAGGCGTCATTTCATGGCTGCATGAGTCTAAAGAGAAATTTATAGACTGGTATTGGACATATGGGCTAATGTCAGACTTACGGCCTTGATCTGGACTGGGCGGGGATGTTTCTTCAATATACAACTGCTCTTTTACATAAAGTGCTTTCTTATACACACATGTGTGTCAATGAATTTGTTTCCCTAGTCCACCCGGGCTCACACAATAGTTCACAAAGACAATGTCCTACTTTCTACTCTGGTGACTGAGGTCTTAAAAGCTGTGAGTGACCACCTCAGGTCCCTCCTTGTCCAGAGGAAAGAAGAGTGCTGACAACAGACGACAGGTGCGAGTGATCAGGCCAGTGGACGAGGGACTCCAAGAACACCAGTGTCCACGGGCCTGACCTGAAGAACTAGATGGTGCCTGGCTTCCACACCAACCGCTCAGAATGTTAAATGTTATTTAAAAAAAAACAAAAGACCAGGCTTATTGGTCAGATAGAGACTGGTGGAACCCTGAGGCCATGGTCCTTCGCCACTCTCTAGGTCTGAATTCGAACTCACCTCTATGTCTCAATTTTCAGTCAAACAATAATAATCATTAAACACAACCCTCAAGCTCACTGTCATCGAGTCGATGCAGATTCATAGCGACCCTATAGGGCAGTGTAGAACTGCCCCTGTGAGTTTCCAAGGATTTACGGGAATAGAAGTCCCAGCTCTCTCCCAAGAAGCAGCTGGTGGTTTCGAACTGCAGACCTTGTGGATTGCAGCCCAACTCTTAACCACTATACCACCAGGACAAAAATGAGACAGGTCTATAAGGGGAGTGATAGTATTTTTGAAAATGGGTGTTATGCAATGACCTTGCCTTATAAGTATATGAAATCCAATGTACCTGTTTAGACACCAGGTGCGTGCGTGCCTGTGCCAGCAGTGCTTGCCGCGTTCAACACTATCACCCACGAGTCTGCAGGCAGGGGCCTATGCACAACTCTGCTCTGCGGGGAATGTCAAGCAAACAT